ATTTGGAGAAATAAAAGGATCATATTTGAGTGGTAACTGCGGGCTTGCTTTATTTATGGGGGACCAAACCAAGAATTTTGCAGCGACTCTGGCCGACGAGTATATCCGGGCCAGAGCAACGTTACAATAGTGTGACGCGTTGGCATAGATCCAACATAATACCACTATGGAATCCGTCCAAAAATATGCAGAAGTGTTTTTCAACTTCAGATCCTTCTGCACTCGTGTGGTTTATGCCACTCCAAGAAGAGAGCATAGCTCAAGTCTGAGTATGGAAACTGATGCTAGAGGTGATTCTCTCGAATTCGAGCATAGTAATTGCACTGAAATTTTAATTTGTTTGCTTATGGACCGTAAATTGGCGAATGTATTGATTTTCGTTGTATGCGGTATGCCATTGCATATATGGCGAGGATTTTTTATGTCGTTTAACGACTGGAGTTCTTCCCGATAACTCTGTCAATCTGATGCCAAATTTGTACGTAGATCATCACCCCAATCGAGATTGAGCTCCCACAGTTTTTGGATGAAGGTCTTAACCTTCACTACAACTGAAGAAAACCACACAAGTGAGTTAAAAATTTATGACAGCTCCTAACAAATTATTAAATATTTTTGACAATAGTTTGAGTTGTGTTCGACCAGACAGATTTTCGGTGGTTGGCATCCACATAATTCCAAGCGTGTTAATATTGACGTCGGATTATCAAGGTGTTCAAGGCATTTAGTAGCCACAAATTATGCAGATGTGTTGTCGTACGTGTCAGTTTTCTGCCTGTAATATTTTATTTCCTCAGATGGGCTATATCTCCACACAATCATCTGGTGGAATTGGTCAGCAGGTTTCATCCAAATCTGTCTGTACATTTTTTCAATGAATACATATTTATGTGTTATGAAGCGTAGGAGTATTGAGAATAACTCGCTTTATACGACTGGGCCAAAATATAAAATGTCATTCAGTGACTTCCCAGATGCACAAGCGTCAAAAACTACTCTCAATTTTGTAGTTTGGCTGTCGGGTTTTAATACGCAGTGATGAGGTATAAAATAGTGCGAAACTGGTATGCCTTTCTGCTGCACTCTCTTCATATGTCCCTAATTGTCATATTCAGCCATGAATTTAACGTAATCGGCTTGTAAGGTGGAATCCTATGCGAGTCGCTTTTCTTAGGCTAAAAAGCGTTGCGTTTTCAGCAGAGAGAATTCTGACACTCAATCTACCATCGATAGCCTTTTGAAGATTATGGACGAAGTGATCTTCACATCCCTTTCCCGTGGGTGAGGATTTATGTTGTCGTCCGACTCCTTCAATATTCAAATTTGTGTGTGCCAACTATAGAGACAACTTCTGAACTACTGTATCAGAAATCAGGTTTATTTGTGAACCTGAATCTAAGATAGCTCTAAATTACGCCTTTTTTCCATTTTGGTCCTGTACCATGACACGAGCTTTTGCTAGTACCACAATTGTTTGCTACTTTTTGTTTGGTACTGGTTTGCTACCTTAGGTTGTAAATGCAATAGCGTATTGTTTTTTTTTTTTGCATTTAAGGCGTCCTCGTAAACGGGCATTATGGTTTTTGCCCAAGCAGTCAACGCATAGTCTTTGTGTTTATGTCCAGCTCAGTCTTTCTGGGGCTGTTTTTAAAATGTGAGAATTGCGGTGACTAATTACACAACGTGCATATTTTGTCTGTGTCAGCTGTAACCGATGGACACGCCTTCAACTTTTTCCTGATTTCCTTACCTCCTTGTTGTCCAGTATGGACTGTTCATATAGAGTATGAGTTTCCTCATTCTGCATCGGCTTGAACATTGGCCTTCAAGTACCGCATTTTCTGAATCGTTGGAAGTTCGACTTCATGGATCACCTACTTGAAGATGCCATACAATTGTTACCACTTAACAAATTTTGGCATTGACATCTTCGGCAGCTGCAATGACAATTGCCTTGTCATTAATATTGTTATGTCAAGAGCGCTGTGTGCATTAGCTGTGCAGGAATCAAAATGGCTACATTAGAGCCCAAGCTATCAGGATTTCCAAAATCTCTATAGATTTGAAAATGGAGATCGGAAGTTTGATTCCAGTGTTTCTCCACCATACGCCTTAGTTGATATTGATTTTGATTTGACCCACTATGCGAGAAAATGCAGTCATAATAACTTTATTATTGCCCACTTGAAATTGCTCCCGAAGATGGCTTAGCCTTATTAGTAATCCTTCGTTTTCCTGTCTTGGGAATCCTTTTTGTAATTCCTTATCAGGGTTTGAATTTCCTCTCCATCGATGCCTGCTAAGTAAGCAGCAAATCCAATAGATTTGCCATTGTTTCCCACTGATATCAGTAGTCAGACCTGTTGGAGGTGTTTTTGTTCAGCCTTTTAAGCAGGATGTACCTCGACTCACACCGATGAATGGTCCGTCACGAATATTTTTGTCGGCGAATTTATCTCGAACTGTTTCTTCGAAGAGGTTTTTGGGACTTCTGTAAGCTCGACCAGAACTGATGCCCATCATCGTTTCGAAATATTCCATCGGTGAAGTTTCTGGGGCTTCTGTGTACGTACGTACGACAAGAACTGCTGCCCAACGAAGTTATTGATTGGTCGCCTTGTTGAAAATTCGCTCCAATAAAGTTGCGCCCTCAATGATTGTGAACTTATGTTAAGGAGCACGACGGGATCACCAAACATATGTTACATACATATGACATAAACTAGTGGCTTAGTGTTGTACTAGCGATACTTGAACCACTTGTACTCGGATGAGCTAAAAGGAAAGGTACCAGAAGAGCACGATTGTTCCTTTTGTTCTGTTTTATTAAATTAAATGCAAGGGCTTATATATAAAATTTGAGTGTGCATATTTATAAATATTTTTAAGAAGTGTATCTAAAAATCAGGGTTCGTCAAAAATGTGCTCATACCCGCTGCTACCCATAAGGAATGCTGCCGCGGGTATTCGTGCCAGCAGAGGCCGTGGGTCATATGAGTCGCTACCGGCAGAAGCAGAGAGTCGTACGAGCCGACCTGCTGAAGCCGAGAGCGCGTTCGGGCCTGTCTGGCAGCGACCCACGGCGAACCACGGCCTGCTCGCACGACCTATGGCTTCTGACAGACGGCTCATACGACCCACAGCTTTAGTCGACAGTGGCAGAAGATTTGTTGTTCTATGCACATGCGCGGCATTTTTTCTAACAATAGCTAAAGTGCGAGTAACATTGGTAGTATGAAAAACTTCAGTGGTAGGGGCCATACATAGATGGACACCAACATTAGAATTAACATTTTTGGATAATCCAAACCATCCTTTTAGTCAAAACATTCTTCATATTGCTACGTGACCCTCCAAAAATTTGTTCGTTTTGTGTCATTAATATGTGTTGGATAAGTACGTCAAAAGTAAGACTGAAAAATGTTTAGTTCATAAAACTGTTTAACAAGTGTGTGTTTGCCGGTAATAAAAATTATTCAATTACCGAATATAATAATGCCGCCGAAAGGATCAAATCTTACCTATGTGTGTAGCATAAATACATGGTCCAAGCGTCCTCAGAGAGCTCAATAGTCAGAAGAACAAAGTGTAGCAGTAAACGCAACTCAACGGATCAGAACAGCAGATATTTACACATGTTGCGTTCGAATATCTGCTGCATATTAATATAAACAAGAGAGAACGGTACAGTCAAGCACGTCCGACAGTAAAATACCCTGTACTCTCTACAAAAAAGGAAGATTAATAAAAAATAATTAAAAATTAAAAACAAGTAGAGAAGCTAAAGTCGGGTGTTCCGACTTTGAAATACTCTGCACATATGTTAAGAATATTGAGAAAATTTATATAAAAAATTCGATCTATTTTACCTCTCTCGGCATTAGAACTCACTTAAGGGGTGTATAATTGCACATTTACAAAGCAATTGCGTCTTTGTGAATGTATGCGTGTCTATTCGTGTCTGTGTGAGCAATTTTGCAGTCAACCAGAGCACCAGCGTCAACAACAGCTGCGGACAGCTCTTGGGCAGCAATTATATTTATGGCTATAACACTCTCTTGAATTCGTCTATCATAATGAAACTTGGCATACAAACCTATAAGCACTAACTGGGGGGTATATGCATATTATGAAATTTTCGATATTCAAACAATTACGGGAGTTATGGAAGATCACTAGTGGTTGTGGAGAGGGGGTGGAGGGGAATTCCAAAAAAAACACATTCTGCGTATTCACATAAGGCATCGTGGACTTCAAACTTGATGTCCCTAGGTTTTATAGTATCCGATATATAGACGATTATACGAATAGAAAATCGGGAAAACCCCCATAGGGGAGTAGTGGGGGGAAAATCAACAAAATAACAAACTCGTATAGCGTATACCCATAAGGCATCTTTGTGCAAAATTTAGTGTCTCCAGCTCTTATAGTCTCTGAGATCCAGGAGTTTATACGGACGGACAGACAGACAGGACTAGATCGAATCGTCTTGTCATGCTGATCAATAATACATATATATACTTTAAAATATGTTAATATTGTCAAGTAATAATATTCCAAAATGAACTGATAGAGATCTGATAGACGTCATTTTGAAACGACATTCAAAATCAAAGGAAAAGTTAATCATAAAATTGCGTCACTCATGTCAATGCCTAATGAGGATCCAAAGATTCTTCAAATTTGTTTTATTGGCGGTACGTGTGACAACTCGATGTCTGCATAATTTCATTCGGAAAAAAAGTCGTTTGAAATATAGTTGTATCTTTCCTTAAAAAAAACGCCATCAATATTGTTTTAAAATGTAGAAATAATAATAATTGAATTAATAATAAATATGTACATTTGTTGTTTGTTCATTGTTCCAAAAATGTGTTTATTAGAGTTGCTAATTTGACCGATATATGTAATTAAACTTACTGTGACCAGTACGACCCATTTGTACTTGGTATACATCCTGACCACTTAAAAAACATCGATATCTTGTTCTGCCCATCACTAATAAATGTTGGGTGTAATTAGAAGAGTAGTGTAGTTTGTTATGAAGCGATTGAGTATGTGAGGGAATTCTATTAACTATATAATACGATCGAGGTATTTTCATTGAAAATATGTAAGTTATAAAAGCTAACTGATTAATTCTCTTTTTGACATGTGACATTCATAAACTGTGTATAAAAAAATATTAATATTTTCACTTGAATGTATGTACATATATGCATGTTTGTACATATATATTAAACACTAAACCAGTAAAGCGCTATAACTGAACCACGAATATTATAGTAGTCGAATTCTAGCTCTATTATACGTTCACTAACGTATTATACAAACAAATGATAAATATTTGAAATCTTTGCCCTGCTATTGTGTTTATTTGTGATGCGATCCAAAAGAAGTAGCGGTGTTTACACCATGCGGTGTCAATCTTGTTAAAGTATTAAAAGCAAAACATAAAATTGTCTTGTTTTTTCCTCAGGCGGCCACTCTTGTTTCTTAAAGTTATCTGGATCCGATTTTCGCATTAGTCATTTATCTCCACAGCTATTGTGCCGATAATCTCCTTTTTTTTAAAGCAAAATCAACTACATTATTTTATGTCAGTGTCCCTCATTTAATAAACGAATTTTTGAATCTTCTTTAGATCTGACTACTATATCTATACATACATACATATACATATGTATGTATATAAAACTGTTTGTCCTGCCTCACTTGACTGATTGGCGATCAATCCACAGCCCAAACGGTAGGACCTAGGAAGTTGAAATTTGGACACAAGTTTGCTTTCAGTGTGAGCAACCAAGAAAATTGGAAAATTCGAATTTGGACAAGATGGGGAAAACAGGCTTCAACGATTCTATACAAAATCTGCAATTTCCACCCGATAACCTTGAATCTTGGCTTGTAAACCAAAAAACTACTCACTCAGTTTTTTTTAAATTTTTCTTGACGCCTGCAATAATGGGGTTTTATCATTTCACTAATTATCAAATGAAAAGATTGTGTTGTAAATTGCATTCAACCGATTTCAAGTTAGGTGCACTTATTTAACATAATGTTTGTTTTTTTTTAACGCCAGTTTTATGATTATCGGCCCGAAAAAGTCGGCGTTTTCCCATCTTTCGGGAATGCCGGTTTTAGAGGATGAACGATTTCCTTAGCTAACAAAGCTACACATGTAATTCAGGAAAACTGGCATTTAGCGTTATGCTCATTCTTTGATGTATGCGTTTAATATTCACATCACTTTTACTTTCAAATGAAATCAAAAATTGCCTAGGATTTCACAAAAGAATTAAGTGTACGTATGTGTCTACGTACATATACATATATGTCAATATGTACAAACATATGCCTATTTATATGTTGTGCAGTTGCGAAACTTGATCAAACACAGTTTCAAGTTATACCGTGTACGCTGGTCCCAAATCCAAATTTTATTGGATTTATTATCCAAAACTCTATTTGCTATCTAAGAAGCAAGAGACTCTTAAATTAGCCGAATTTACTATAATCAAATATATAATGGACGTGCAGGCCAAGTTCTGACTAAAATTTACTTTAAATCTCGTGCTTATTTTTATCGTTAGAATCTCGTATATACCACTTTCTTAATTCAATTTTAAAAGATATACTCGTATTAAGCACAAATTCAAAGAATCGAATCTATGCGTGAAGAGGACTCAATACACTGAAGAGATCCAGGCATAGGCTTAAAGATTTCTGAATTCATGAGAGTAATTTTCATAAATTGTTATAGCTTTGGACAAGGTTCGTGTATTTTAACACCTTCCCGTCGATCAAAATGATATGGAGATCATAGCTTATAAAGTTACAATAAGTAAGGGTACCAAATTTTGCATTTGCATGCCTAGATTCTCTTTGAAAATATGCTCAGTGGTTTCTTTAGCGAACTAAACTTTTATAGTGGTCTGCAAAATCTAATTAAATGCGGATTTAGAATTTCATGTCTTGGACTGCTTTACTAACAACAATAACATCTGCGGGCACAGCTTGATGATATATACATATATATATATACATATATAGCTATACCTTCATGTACAGAGTATAAAACAAGATAGAACGAGCAAGCCCGACAGTAAAATATACTATACTGTCCACAAAAAAAGGAAATAAAAAAAGTAATTTAAAAAATTTCATTAATTAATTAAATTATATAGAAAATATTCAACACATACTTACATACATAGGTGTTTATATGCAATGTCAATAGAATTAATTTACATCAGAATCGTGTCTCTGCGTGTTTATATGCGTATATGTATAGAATGCAGCACAAAGTTGCAGGTAGAGCTTGGGCAGCGATTTCATTTAAGGCTATAACTTTCTTCAGAATTTACCAATCATGATGAAACTTAACATACGGACACACTAACTGGATGGACGGACGGACAGACAGACGGACATGGCTATATCGACTCGTCTTGTCTTACTGACCAATAATATAAAAACTTTGTTGGGTCTGCCACACCTCCTATGTGTTACATACATTCGCACAAAACTAGTATGTATACCCTTTCACCCTTTGGGTACAGGGTATAAATTTTGCCTGGCGTGCATTTTTGCTCCACACATGCTTGTAGCTTGGATATACGAGGTACCGATAGGTACTCAGCCTACTACAGAAAAACGAACATTTTGGAAAAGCGCCGATTTATTTCCTAATATAATATTTTGCTTTCAACTAATTCTCTTGCTTAAAACATTAATGTGAACGAAAAATCCGTTATTTCTATCGAACATTTTAATGCCTCTCTTTACACAACGAAATAATTGAGCTGATCATATCAGTTTCTATACATACATAAAATGTACAAGAGTATATTAGGTTTGCGGGAGCTGAAAAATGTAACAGGCAGAAGGAGGCGTGGCAGTCCCTACAAAGTATATATATTCTTGATCAGCATGACGAGACGAGTCGATCTAGCCCTGTCTATCTGTCCGACTGTCCGTCCGTATGAACACCTGGATCTCAGAGACTATAAGAGATAGAGACACCAAATTTTGCACAAAGATGCCTTATGTGTGTATTCTATACGAGTTTGTTTTATTTTTTTGTTTCCCCCCCCCCCCCACTTCCCCCTATGGGGGTTTTCCCGATTTTCCATTCGTATAATCGCCTATATCTCGGAGACTATAAGACCTAGGAACACCAAATTTTCTTCCCAGATGCCTTATGTGAATACGCAGAAAATGTATATTTTCCCTCCCCCCTCTACCCCGCAAATCGTAACTCCCGTAATTCTTGGAATTTCGAACTAAAATTTGGGAAAGTCGACACCCGACTTTAGCTTTTTTATACCCTGTACCCGTAGGGTAAAAAGGGTATATTAGGTTAGTGCAAAGTATGTAACATACAGAAGGAAACATCTCCGACCCCATAAAGTATATATATTCTTGATCAGCATGACGAGAGAAATCGATCTAGACATGTCCGTCCGTCCGTCCGTCTGGATGAACGCGAGGATCTCAGAAACTATAAAAGCTAGAATAACCAAAGTTGGCATCCAGATTCTCCTAAGTCCGAGTAAGGACGAGTTTATTTTATTTTTTTGGATTTTCCCCCCCTCCCCCCGCTACAGAATTTCGTCAATAGCGTCTACATTTCAAATGCTACCTAAACCAAACTTTGCACAGAATTTATATATAATTGTCTACTGTTGCTTAAAATTTTATTCAATTCGGTCAATTCTAAATAAAGTTATTAGCGAAACAAATTCTCGCCAGTACAACCCCCCCAAACTGCAGCAACAAGTTCGCTCTTCTTCTTCCTCTTTTTGCTGCTGCTATGGGCGCATATAACTCAGTGACGGAAGTTTACCTGGGTACAGGGTATTACACTGTCGGGCTTGCTCGACTGTAGCGTTCTCTCTTGTTACTTGTTGGATTTGTAATTTAGAAATTTAAATAAGTGAGTTATGACTTTGATTCAGGCTTAGAATATTAGATTAGATTTAATTTACCACATATATTTTGGAATTTCCCTCCCTCCTCCCTCTCCCCCGCCAATCGTAACTCCCGTAATTGTTGGAAAATCAAATTTTGCAAATTTATGCAATTGCTTTGTAAATGTGCTATTAGAGAGGTAAAGTCGATCAAAAGTATTTCCAAGTCGGGGCACCCGACTTTAGCTTCTCTACTTGAAATTAAATTAAATTTTTTTTATCTGTGGGAGTGGTTTCCGGGTATTTCACTGTCGGGCCTGCTCGACTCTAGCGTTATTCCTTACTTTATTTTATTTTTGATCAAAGGCTAAATTTGCGTTAATGGTTACGTTAATATACTTAACAGTATAATGCTTATGCAAAATAACTCTAAACACACTTCGCACTTTGAAGGAATGGCCTACATAATTACTCGACCTAAATTTTCCATAACCCTTGTAATTCTTGGTATTTTTTTGTTATCAAATTTTTACAAATACCTCCAGTTAGTGATGTATCCGTCTGCAAATTTCCATAATTATTATCCCATATCTAGTTACTTGAGTTCTGCATTAACTAAGTCGATAATTGGGTGTGTATCTGATTCTGAGTACCCGGCGAACATTACCGAGCGTATTTGTGGTATACGGCAAGGATTGCCTTGCCTTGCCTGCAAGGACCTTTGAGTTTTGCTGTCAACTTTCTTTGACGGTAATCAGTGCATCTCCGTCATCCATTTTTATGAAGTTTACTTATTGGTAAGCTGTAAACTGAATCTTTTCGGAGGCGCGATCGTATTAAAGCTTAAATTTGGGCACAAGTTTCCTTTCACAGTGAAAGTGAGCACTAACCAGCGGTTTTGGAAAATTCGAGCTCCAAAGGGGGAAAACGGGCTCCAACGTTTGTATTTTCATCCAATTAACTTTGTATATTCTCATAACGAATACAAGAAAAACTGTATACTTTGTTTTTCGCTATTTTTCCTAGGGCCAGAATTATAGGGATTTTCCCGTGGAAAAATCGGGACTCGAAAAGCTTTGTGCAATCAACGCACAGCCCAAATGGTAAGAGTTTGGACGCTGAAATTTGGACAAAAGTAGTCATATAAAAATACGGGTTTCGCTTTACAAATGCAGGCAGAACAAACAACATAAAATGCATA